GACAAGTCTAGACGTAACCTTGCACATACGTAACTGTATCTATATATATATATATATATATATATGTTGTATGGACACGCTTTACCTGTAGTAGCACGCGGCAGCACCAGCAGCAGCAGGAAGACGAAGGCGAAACTACTCCCAGAGGCGTGCCAGAGTCTCGGAGCCATACTGTGTCCTGTTGTTGTTGTCAATTATACAAGATCAGGTGAAACGGATACGTAAGCATCGTACGCGCGTACGATGTGTATACGTTTTATGTAATTATTCTCGACATCCTGTATATGTACACGTGTATACATTACCATATCGTCAGTGTCTGTTCCAAGCATGGGAAGAAGGATGAAATTTGATCCGGGAGATCCTCTGAAACAAAAACAAAAACAACGAATCATTAGAGATACTCGAATATTTTTATCTGTTTATTTTTTAATCATAAACATCTTGGATCCCTGAATCGCAATTTAATTGTACACCCCTTGACGCTCCTTGCCTCCTAAGTTGCCATATCTAAAATTATAAGTTTGCACTCGTACCGCGGCGTAAGCAACATTCCTTCGAATGAGAGCGAAAACGAGACACACTCCACACTCGCGTCATATTATACGTACTATAATAAAATTCATTCCCTTCCCGTGAAATGTCAAAGAGAGTAAAGATACAAAGATTTTAAAAATTCCCCCAACACACCCAAAGCTAACCGATGATTTTCGTTTTTTTTTTTTTTTGTTTTTTTCCCCTCAAAGTCGAAAATAGAGTGGCTGAAACACACATCCTGAAAGTAACTACGTATATGTATATATAAAAAATGTAAGAGCGAGTACAAAGAAAGGAAAGGGCAACAACAAAGGAGCCCAACGGGTTCGGCTACCTAATCCACTGCATAAGCTATGAGCCTCACACATGCCGGCCACCGTATCCATTCTAATATTCACTTGGCCGCGAGAATTATGCGGAGGATGACGATTAACATACTTGGTGCATGGAAAACCAAAAGCTTTTCCATCGTACCTTTGGGGTGGTTTTCTCACCTCGGTTGAGTTGCACGATGGCACTGTCGTATCATTGTTATTCTCCATAGCCGATGTACTTACAATCATAACAACGCAAATATATATATATATGTATTTATACACACATGCATATTTACATAATCACCCACGTCGATCAAACGACGTGGTAACCGTGTACGCGAAGGTTTACGCATAGTTGCGCAGTTGGGGGTAAAATCGAGCTTTCACGGACGCTGTTTGTATCAGTATATATAACGCATAACATAGGATATCGAGTAACCCTTTTACACGCGTCTGACGGAAAAGCTTTTGTTTTGTTGTTCAACTGGTTACTGATGCACACGACGTATCGGTATCCAACGGTATAATTAAGCCGTCAAAGCTCGTAAAATGAGCTTTAATAAGCGTTGTTTTGTTGACAAAGATCATTTGTGTATATACGTATGACGTGTATACATAATATTATTTATATATATATA